CTCAGTCAGGTAATTATTTAGTATATTTTATCAATTAGTATTATTTGTTGGGTTCTTAGTTTTTTCTGTTAATTAGCAATGTTAGTTAGTGTAGTTAGATAATATAGTCTAATCAGGTTTGGTTCGTTAGTTAGATACGCAGTTTAGTTAGTTCGTTTTTAGTCAACTGGTCAAGTTAGTTTGATTAGTTAACTATTTACTCAGTTCGTTAGTTAATAGGTTAGTAAGGTTGGCATAGAGTCGCTGGTTCTGAAAGTCTCACAAAGCTCACCTAAACCTTATGTATGTCACCGTTTATGACTTCTAGTGTTGCGTCAAGGAACGTCTTTCGTTTAGATATGGCGGTAAGAATGTACCTATCATCATAACATTACTGGTATAACAGCAAACGGGGGATATTAACGATAGTTAATTGGAAATGCTTTTATTGAAAGGCAAATTGCTGTCGCATTTTCACTCTGATTGTCATACGGCTTTGCTTTTTTAGCATTATTTACATGTCGTTCATTAGTTTTAACTAACCTACGCCGTTTTCGTCTGTATACGTTTTGGTTTTTGGGTTGCGCGCTTGACTGATTTTCAGGCGCAAATGGTTTACTTAACTCATCGCGGCTCGTGAGAGGCAGGGGACATTTAAACCGTGCCTGGTGTAACGGCCGAGGACGTCAAGGGTAGGACACACCGGAGTAAGGGAACGCCGAGAAGAGCTCTTGGCCGGGGTAGACCTGAACGGAGCTGTTAGTATTCCTTGATGCACTTCCATACACAGAAGAAGAAGGCATGTCGAATAAGAGATAAAGTGTAATATGACGAGGTTGCACGGGACAACGTATAATAATCGTCAATAGTACAGGTAGGACGGTTACATCTGTAGATTGACCTGTCTGGGTGAAGAGACGATGCCAACATGCCAGCTAGTAAACCGGTGGGGAGCGCAGCGCTGGGAGCAACTGCAGGGAAGGGCCGAGGGAGTGCCGATGTAGCGAGGAGGCGAGCGGTTCGGACGATACGTTACCTTACGACGAGGGGGAAAGGGATCGGCAGAAGAAAGGGTGAGGGACACCGGTTATTTTAACCGACACGCGACTACGCCATCTCCACCCTAGGTCCTCGCGCGGAAAAGTGTCAACTCATTCAAACAACTCTGTCCAAGTCCAGGGGTGTTACACCGGCGAACGTCACCGCGCTGTTTTTAGTTCCAGAAGTTCGAACAGAAATGACAATTCATTAAGAAAAAATTTAAATTATGCTAAGAGTAACTCAGGCCAAACTGGATCTCGTCCCAATCGTCCTAAAATGCAGTCTCCGGATCTCCTATAATACGCCTAGCACACAATGTGCTAGGGTTTAGCATTTGGTCTATTGTCTTTTTATGCGAGACTAGTAGGCGAGCATACGTTAGCATTTGATAACCTTTCATAAAACCAGTAAATTTACATGAAAGCGGCCTTAAGCAAAACGTGTCAATCATAAGAGCAGCTGATTAAATTTTGTCTTAAAACACAAACGGCGTGTCGGAATGTGAAGCGGGTAAGAGCGGCATTAAGCACTTAACCTGAATGACATTCTTCTGAGCGAACGAGGTCAGTTTTCGCAAACTGTTGGCGGCAGT